GTCAAACTGTTCCACACACACACACACACACACACACACACACACACACACACACACACACACACACACACAGCAATAAATTATGACTTGTTAGAAAAATGTGCAAACTGTTCTGTGCAAACCCTGCGAATAAAAGGCTAATACTGTTATGAAAGTGCAAAGTGCTGTTATTTATGTGCATCGATAACATATTTGTTTAAAGTGCAATAAATACAAATGTGCAATGTTTACAAGGCATAAGCCTACAGTTACTAGTAATGAAGTTCCCTTCGCTGTTTTAAGTGAAAGCAGTGAGCCTGACTCTATCCAAAGGCCCCCTGGCACCTTTAACACACATTATTTGTTTAATCCATAAGTGTAAGGCTTGTTTTCCGTGGCTCTATGTACTCTAGTATGTTGGGTGGTTACATTTAGACAGAGCCAGGCTGTTTCTCGTCTTCATGCTGCGCTGGGCAGCTGCTGGCTGTGTGTCCATATTTACTGTCCTGACTTGAAAATGCTGTCAGTTTTTTTTCTATCTAATTCTCAGCAAGAAAGAGAACAAGCGTATTATCCTAAACTGTTTTGTTAAGCTCAGATTAATGTGAAGACATAATACAATAAGATTAATGCAGACTTCAAGTTGAGCTGTGATGGATTACTCAAGCAAGTTTTAAGAATCTGCTGATGTTCACTCTGTACAGAATAGTTTATCTCTTTATTGTATGCTCGTGTTTTTTTTTACATATGATCACTTTAGTTTTTTATCGAGTGTCAATGTTCTGTCAATATCTATGTTGCATGGGCTGTTGAAAAGAAAAACAAGCTGACATCACCTAAGGCTTGAAAAAAGAAAATCAGTGATGAAAATAATCATTAGTTGCAGTCGTGAGGAATTGACTAACCCAAACAGAACATAAAAATCTTTACTAAACAGGAATTTAAGAAAAAATGGGTCAACGTAAGAACAAATTTGTGTTTTGAATCATCCACAAAACAAGGGATTATGCGACAGACAGAAAAGCTGTTACCTCAGATCACTCTCAAAGTTAATATTCATGGTGGCACCTGTTTTCCAATGCTTGCCCTGTGTGTTAGTCTCTGCTCTTTCATATAGGTCACATCATGTCTCTGCATTGATATCTTCTGTCAGTGAGTGAGCGCTACCTGTGTTTGATTCATCTTGTTCGGGGAAATTGATTTTAAGAAGTAAACAAAGCTCAAACAAAACAGCCCACTACCACTAAAGCGTGGGCATTTAATCACTATCCCTCTGAGGACAGAGACAAACATGCGCTGTATGGCTGTAGATCCTCTGTACACCTGTAACAACAATACTGTACGAACCCCCGCCTTCCTCTATGAGAGAATACATTAACCTTTCGACGGCGGCTCTGTTGTAAAGATGATCCTGAATATCGACATTCTATCAATCCCGTTCAAAATTAAAACCGGCTGTGAGATTCGGCTGAATGTCACGATGTGAAGAGCCCAGACGTTTTCCCTTCATTCATCGGGTGATGTGTCGTCATAGCAACCACTGACACAGACACATCCATCTTACTTGCCAAGATGTGTTTTTTTAGATTAGGTCATAACCAATGCGTTTTTGGGTATATAAAGGGAAAACGTCAAAGAGCCCCGATGTCAGTCGGATGAATAAAATGAGACGATTGTGAGTTTATGCTGTGCTGCTGCAGCCTGATTCCCAACAAGCTCTCCAGTCTCCGTCCAGCTATAAATACCTGAATGATAGCCAGGACGGCTTTAGAGCTGTGTTGGCTGCTAACACAGCGATGATGTGCAATATAATGAGGTGTGGTGGGCGAGCACGACCCTGTGAGTCTGACTTACCATTGACGCAGAACTCGTACGGTGCACAGAGCTCGTCTTCAAACAGGCAACCTAAAATAGGAGATATGAATTAATAAACAGCTCCTCACACTGTAGCCTCGCTGTGGTCTTGAGAAACAACACACTCGGATTGAATGGAGAAGTCTCAAAACTGAAATTACCTGGGGGGTGCAACAATGGACAGTACAAAAAAATAATGATAATATAATTAATGTGAACCTTTTCAAGTAATAATCAAAATGAAATTTATAAGCCCAAATATGTGCATAATAATTCAGTGACATCTAGTGGTGAAGTTGCATGTTGCAGCTGAATACCTCTCACCTCACCTTCCAAACACGAAGGAGAACCAGTGGCAGCCTTCAGTTGTCATAAAAACTCAAAAGGCCAGTCTGGACTAATGTAAAAAAAAAAAAAAAACAAACATGGTGGCCTCTGTAGAGAGGACCCATTCCTAATGTAAATATAAAGTATTTACATATAAAGGGAGGGTAAACAACAATTCATGCAACTTAGACGAAACACAAGTGAAAACATTACTAGGATTATTATTTATTTAATTTCTGCCTTTAGATCCTCCTGCAAAAAGTATACAATTGAGAATTTGTGGTTTTGTTAGTCAGAGCCAGACGAGCTGTTCACCAATCTTCATGTAAAACTACAAGACAACTGCAGCTTCATTATCAGCAGACAGACATGAGTGGCATTGATTTTCTGATCAAACTCTTAGCAAGAAAAACAAATGAGAATATCTCCCGAAATATTAAACTACTCTTTGAACTGACGATGGAAAATAAACTGCAGCCTCACCCTGATAATATGAATCAAGTTGGGAGAGGAAGGAAACTGAACTGTGCAGCAGTTTCACCTCAAACACAGGATTTAAACACAGCACAACAAGTTATAGGATATGAATGGAGAGCTTGAGTATATACGACTGAAGGTACAGACAATGTACTAAACTGCAGAACAAAATTAGCTCAGTGTCGCAATTTCTAAATATGTCGCCGCTCTATGAAAGTGCAGCTTAGTACTGCATTAACTTTGGCTGTGGGCCTTGCTGCTAATGGCAGAGGCATCAATCATCAATTAGTGTGACTTCTCCTATCCTGTCTCTGACACTAATAGCCCAACTCCATGGGCAACGTTTCCATAAATGAATGTTGTATGAATATTAATGAACTTTAACGCTCGGACTAGGGCTGGGTGTTCCAGACTAATAAATGAACAGATGGCAGGAGCATTATGGGTAGCTGTTCCCTGTGTTCATATTTCACACGTGGGAGTTGCAGGGAGTCGAGGACTGATTGTTCTGCTCGCCGAGCTGCGCAGGTGATCCTCCGCATTAACGCATTTCCAGGAAAAGACAGAGTTGAGAAAAAAGGTGGAGTCTGCAGGGTAAAAACTCCTCTCGTCTTGTTGGCTGACTGTAATGACACGTTCAGGGTCAAATCAGACCCACACAATAACAGACCTCCAGCCATGAAATGAGCCACTTAGAACATTGCATTTGTGTTTGTTCAGTAAGCTCCTGACAGTTTTATATGAGAGAGTAGAGGCGCTTGCAGAGAAAATGTGTAAACAGCTCGGCCAGCCTCAGATCTCTTTCTCCACGTCGTTTATCTTTGTTGTCTCTCTCCCTCTGGTTATCAGAAGGCGTGACTGAATTGGACGCACCCTCTTGGCCCCGCGGCCCCGACGGACGTCAATGAGCAGCTCGCGACCGTGAATAAAGAACAGGCTGAGTAGGAGGAGATGCCTCCTTCAGATTTCTTTAATAATGAGGAGAGACAGGTGGAGAGGTCCATCAATTCACAAAGGGCAGATAATCAGGGCGAGCGTGACGGAGGCTTCTCGGGCATCGCTTGCTCCGACATTCCTCATGTTTCTTCTTTTCATGTTGGACATTTGCGTCTTTATTCCGCTGCTATTATTAAAGGTTAACCTGCATTGTGTCTTCATTACACAGAGACACTATGCAGACTTTTTTGTTACGGAGCGGAGGACACATTTCAGGGAAATTGCACCTTTTAGAGGTAATGACTTCAATATGTCAGCAAAATGGCTATCTAATGATGTGGAGGCAGGCCTCAGCCATCACAGAGCTGGAAGGTCACTCAGCTCTCTGGAACAAAACTTAATGGCAGGATGTCCTGAGCTGAACTGCAACAAACCCAGACTCTTGGGTTTGGTTCAACAGCAATTCTCACTATTCTCATCACAGAAACTGGACCAACTTAACAGCAATCGACAGACAAAGTCAGCAACAACATGGTGAGCAGTTATCATCAAGAGAGACAGCTGTGAGACATCCTCGTCCCTTATACCGCTGCTCGTATACACTTCACTCTTCTTACCCACCAGTGGGTGCTATACGGCTTTCACTGTATGGGAAATCTTCCTTTTTTAAAGTAGAAAAGTTCCCTCAGTGTTAAGTGGTAGCCAACGCATTTGCCACACGTGTCAGTTTTGTTTTCACACGTTTTGTGCAGCCTCCTTGTCGCCGGATAAAAATGAATACAAGTTCAATGCAGGCTTAGTGTTGATATGCAGTGTTAGATGCATCTGGGTTCTAGGACAAAATGAAAAATGACTCATCACTGGCAGATACTTAGAATCGCCCTTTTTGACTTATCAATCAGACGTATTCATTATTTTCCGTTAATCCATTCTCATTTCAAGAAACAAACTTATCTCGAGTCTTGTTTGGAAATTGGAGGAGCCACACAGTCCCTCTTGAGCATGCACCTCATCACGCTGCAATTAGTGTCAATCCATTCAACTTTACCTCTTCATCACTTCCCTGCTTAAATCATTGAGTTCTCTGGGAGGCCTTGTCAGCTCTCAATATTAATTACAACCTTCCATTTAATGAAGCATCCAGCCAACCATGGTAAGTCAGACATGGTTTGTGCGCACGTGACAGCGTGCACGTGCAATTGTGTGATAGGCAGGAACATAGGATCGCCACATCCCATTTCGCCGACATCGCGCCAGAGATGATTAAAATGGCGCCTTTTAATTAAAATGCAATCACAGTGGATGCTGCTGATTACCTCAGGCGAATAATAAAAAAAAAAATAATAATAAAAAGATGCTGGAGTCGTGACTGAGGAAGAAAGCTGATGGGGGGGAAAAAAGTGTCCAGGCTGTATCTAAAATGAAGCACCCTGACAAAGAATAGGCACATTGTCTCTTGTGATTCTCAGCATGCGAGATAATTTCACAAACAGAATGACCTTCGCAAAAAAGTGCCACACTCGCTATTGAGTGATGATGCTCCGTTACCATGTCAACCTCACCGCGGATCAATCGCAGCAGCTCTTCAATGGGAAACTGGCTGATAGTCAAGCTGAGTACAGTCTCAGTGGGATGTACTGTCGAGGATCAACAGACACAATGTGAGTCTGCTTCTCAGTTCGTTTTCTCTCTGAGGAACAGTGTTTTATTTTCCAGTGTTTTCTATCGTCACACTCAAACCTCAGACTGTTTCATTTGAGCTTTACATTTCTACTTTGTGTCCAGATGGGTAGTGATTAGCATTATTATAAACAAGCTGATTAATCAAACTAATTCTGTAATGCATGATACATTTCATTATCAATTGATCTACCATTTATTTCCTCGATTAACAAATCAGTATTTGATATAAAAATCATGATGTCATGTTGCTGACATTGTTTTCACTTTGCAATCACAGAAGACAACATATCAGCAGCTAGTCTCTGGTCTGATTTTGATTAAAATACAACTAAATTACTGAAATCTAATCAAACTGCGTCTGAATTGCAGCTAATTCATTTTCTGTCAACAGACAAATTGATTAAACGTCACATTTATGCAGTGAAAATGCCACACTGGGCTGGGAGCAATTTCGATTGTCATAAATAAGAAGTGTCAGATTATTCAATCGTGTAAATAATAATTAGCAGTGGCACTCTAGGTGTGAGCTGACCACAGGTGCAGTAGTTTTCCTCCCAAAATAGACAGCGTGAGACATAATTTACAAAAACAGTTTGCGGGGAGAATCCAGAGGGTCAGTGAATGCAGTGAGTCACTTCCCAGTTTTTAACTTGATATAATAATAGTTAGTTAGCGGCTGTATATTCTCAGGAGGCTGCGAGATAGTAATAACACTGTTCCACAGATCTTAAGAGAATCCAGTCTCATTAGTGTGTCTTTGCTAAATATATGCAGAGCACTGTGCAGGTTTTGCATAACGATTCCTCCAGAAGCTTATGTTAGCATGCAGAAGAGTGAACCTGGTTCAATTACCTGTGACCTAAACCTCTCCGAGGCCCCGATCCACTGCAGCAGAGAGGCACTTTCCCATGGTGCCCCCCTGCATGCCTTATTATAACTAACTGCTATTGAGGGCAGCAAGTGCACCCACTGTATAAGTAAGCAGGGACCAGAACCCACACACATGCACACACATGCACACACACACACGCGCACGCACGCATAAACAATTCACCTTCAGCTACAGCCTCAGCTCTGCAGCATGTCAGACACATAACAGCATGGCCGCCTCTTCTGGGCGTGAAATAAGAGAGGGGGTGTTTTTGAAGGGAAATGCTCATTTGAGGTCATTTAAGGAAAAGCAATTACATTAAAATGACAGGGAGTTTCTCATTAGAAAAAAATATAACTTTATTAATCTCAGATAATCTCCACCTGGACATTATCGAGCCATTTATCACACATCTGAGAGCGGGCTCAGGTCCGGAGGAACTGACCGAGAGCGTATCAAACATTCGGCCGTGATTGGCTGACCTTGCTTGCAACATTAAATTTGTCCTGATGAGGCAAAACCCAAGGCTGAACATGCAGTCGGAGACTTGATGGTTTGCTTTCCCTCGCAGGTGGTTGGCCAGCGCCGGGACACCATCTGCGATGTCTGAGGGGCCAAGGAGGATGCTGGGAGGCTGGCAGCGAGGACAGCCACTCCCGAGCCTGCTGCAGTTTAGGACATATTTCATTCACTCTCTGCGGCCACCAACGTGTCTTTTATTATAATTATTAGCTGCGACCAAGGACACCTGAATCAT